CTTTTAACAGTGTGATTATAATGTGTCTTGGTGTGGGTCTCTTTGGGTTTATCCTCCTTATAGTTTTTAAAGATTATACTATTTCTATATCCATGTCTCTTCTCAAAATTGGGAAGGTTTTGGCCATTATTTCTTCAAATAAGTTTTCTTTCCCTTTCTTCTTCTGGAACTCCCACAATATGTATATTGTTTTGCTTTATATGTCCCCAAACCCCCTATTCTCTGTTTATTTTTCTTCATGATTTTTTTCTTTTTGCTCCTCACACTCAATAATTTCAAATACTCTGTCTTCAAATTTGCTGATTTTTTCTCCTTCCCCTTGTTTGAATCTGCTGTTGAACCCCTCTAGTGAATTTTTGAATTGAGTTATTGTATTTTCCAGCTTTAAAGTTTCTGTTTGGTTATTTCTATCTCTTTGCTGATAGTCTCATTTTGTTCATATATCGTTTTCCTGATTTCCTTTAGTTCTTTTTTTCTTTTCTTTTTTTTTTTAAGATTTTTTTTTTTATTGGGGAATTGGGGGAAGGGGAACGGACAAGTTGCTGTCTTTTTTGTTCTTCAGTCTAGTTGTGGAGGACGTTGCTTCACTGGCCCAAGTTGGCACCATCATTGCACTCTTCCCGGGTGAGGCAGATCAGTCACCGGCTTCTGAACGGCCGCTCACCACGGCTTGAGGGCCACTCACGCTGGCTGCTGGCTACACATGGTAGCCCATGGCAACTCACTGCAGCAGGGGCTGCAACCTACACTGTCACCAGCGACTCACAGCAGCTCAGCTCCAGGTAGAGCTGTTGTTCAGCATCTTAGCTGTAGAGGGCAGTGTCACTGTTCCTCATATGTGGGATCCGAACCGGGGCCCTCTGGCGTCCCAAGCCAGTTCTTAACCAATGTGCCACTCTGCCGGCCCTCCCTTAGTTCTTTGTGTTATCCTCCTTGACTGTATTTAAGATAGTTGTTTTCAAGTCTTTGTCTAGTAAGTCTGAAATCTGTATTTGTTCAGGGATGTTTTGGAAGGTTTATTTTTTTCCTTTGAATGACCCATGTTTTTCTGTTTCTTTGTATGCATGTGATTTTTTTATTGAAAATTCAGCGTTATATAAAATAGCTGCCTCTTTCAGTCCTTGCACACTGGCTTCATGCTGAGAAAGGCCTTCTTTAATCAATGCAGTATGAGGGCCTAAGATCTTCAGGCCTTTTCTGGGCATTTGTCTTCTGTGAACCTGTATGTGCACTTTTCACTTTTGACTGTCTGAACTCTAAATTAGGCATCCCTCAGACGCCTTGCAAATGTGGTCTTTCTCCTCTCTGTTTTGTGGAAGGGGACTGGGCTTTGGGCTGCTACTCCCCTCGTATTGTGCTGTGCAGTACCAGGGAGTGGGTGGGGCAAGGGTGACTATAAATATCACAGAATTATCTAACAAATGTGGCATTTTCTTGATTGATTGTATACTTGGTTGCTGTAGATCTTTGACTACTCTGCAGAGCTTTTATTAAGTTATCTTATTTTGAGATCATTGAGCTTTTTGGATATGTAGATTGCTGTTTTTCATCAAATTTGGGACATTTTTGGACATTTCTTAAAACAGTTCTTCTGCTCCTTTTTCTGGTTTTCATACTATGTGTATGTTGGTATGCTTAATGGTGTCCCATGTTTCTCTGAGACTCTCCGTTTTTCTTCATTCTTTTTTCTCTGTCTCTTCAGGTTGCATCTCTGTTGATCTATGTCCCAACTGTGCTAATTCTTTCTTCTGCCAGTTCAAATCAACTGTTAAGACACCCTAGTGAACTTTTAATTTTAGTTACTGCACTTTTCAACCTCATAATGTCCATTTGGTTTTGGTTTTTTTTTTTTATCATTTCTATCTTTATACTGATATTCTCTATTGGATTAGACATTGTCATCATACCTTCATTTCTTCAAACACAGTTTTCTTTCATTCTTTGACCATATTGACAGTGCTGCTGTGTTTATTTGGGACATGGCACTTGGGCCCTCTCAGAGGCGGTTTCTCTTGCCTGCTTTTCCCTGTGTATGGCTCCACTTTCCTGTTTCTTTGTATGTCTGGTAACTTTTTGTTGAAACCTGACGTTATAATAATACTATTGTAGCAAGTCCAGATCTGGACCTCTCCTTCTCTGTGGCTTCTTTTTGTTTGCTTCTTTATTTCTTTATAGTGAGTTGACTGGATTATTTTAGGGAAGTTTATTTCCACCCAAAGATGGAGCCTCTGATGGCATTCCTTAGAGGGTACAGTCTTGGGTATCTGCATAGTCACTCTGGGATGAAAGGAATTTTAGCAGGTCTCTTGTTGACTGTCTGTGTTATGTTTTTGTTTTGTTTTTTGGTGATTTTTTGTTTTGTTTTGTTTTTGTCTGTGTTGGTATTATACCAAGATGTTAGGCGCCACTAATTATAGGGTAGTTGTGCTATTGTTTTTGACAATGCCCTGGAGTGTAAATTGTTCCACACTCTTATCCAGTTAAATCTGGGCCCCTTTGCAGGGATAGTTTTTGAGGCAAGTTTGAAGCTTATCCTGACCCTAGAAGGAATATTCTTAGCTATCTCTTTTCCTGTTTTCCTTTTCTGGTAAACCCGCTGGCTTACAGGTTAGCCTGTTGCTCTCATAGAGCTACCAGCCTCCTCTTAATTGTTGACTACCAACATCTCCATTGTTTCCAAGAGCACCTTTAGACTTGAACTTCCCCGCTGTTTATTTAAAATAATTTCCTTTGAGTAGAGTTTTGGAGCTCTCTGATCTTATGGTCCACCTTTTTCCCCTAGTAAAATCTCTGAGACCTTACTCCAGAGCTGGGGGTGGGGACAATGACCTGATTCTCTTGGGGTAACAATTCTGTTTTATGAGCAGGGCACTGGGTGGGGCAGTCACCTCTGATCTTTTTAGCTTACCTCTCCTAGCCTGGAACCTCTCTACAAGTGGGCTTAGGCAAGGGTGATCAGTGCCCCAGTATTTTCAGCCTGGTGTAAAGCCTTTGATCTCTGAGTGCAGGCTGGGTAGAGGAAGGGAGCCCCTGTTGTTGGCCACACTCATCAGGAACGTAGCCTTTGTCACTAAGAGCTGTTGAGAGACCAATAAATGCCGGTGGTCAGCCCCTTCTGGTGACTTGGTTCCAGGGACTAGGGAGCCTCATTTTCTTGGCTGCTCACTTGAAGTGGAGCTGCCATCAAGATGACCTAGGGTAGGGGAGTGAGGGTGTAGGTCGTGGCTGAAGTGTCTCAGACTCTCTCTCCCTGTTTTTATTGACATCTAGTAGATTTTCTTGAACACGTTTCTTCATTTGCTGTGTGCTTTTGGGACAATTTCCAGAGACTTTAAATGGTTGTTTTAAAAATAATTTTAATCAGTTGTGGATGTTTTGTCAAGGAGCAGGTCTGCCAGGCCCTTCATGCCTTCATCTGGGATTTGTAACCTCTGGGTTTTATCTTGAGGGCTTAGGGCATTGAAGGGTTTAAGTAATGGTGGAAAGTGGGCTTTAAAAGATCACTTTGGTTGCAACTTAGAAAACTGGAGAGGACAAAGCTGGATGCAGAGAAAACTTCTAAAATGTTGCTGAGAAATTACAGTCATAGATGTTGGTGGCTCAAATTAAGATAGTAACTGTAGGGAACTGGTTCAACATAGAGAATTGTTAAGACTTAGTAATTAATTGGATAGATGGGGAGTTTAGTGTAGGGTAGGAAGATGTTGCAAGCGAGTGAGTCATTAAAATGACTCATAGTCAGTGCTCGCAGAGCTGTCAAAATGCAGGTTCTGACCCAGGGCCTGATTCTGCAGGTCTAGCCCATAGGTCATGCCCATGCTGCTGTCCTCTGTCCCCTACTTAAGTAACAAGGCTGTAGGGTTTCTTGTTCAGGCAACTGGTGAACGGTGGCAATGTGAATTGTGTTTACTTGTCTGTTTACCCTACTAGAGAGCAGGGACTGTCCTCTAGTCTCTGTTCATTGTTATTTCTTGAGCACCTAGTAGGTGCTTGATGGATAAATATTTGTTGAATGATTTAATGTTGAAAGGAAACACAGAAAGGAAAAAGTATATGGAAAAAGATGAGTTTCATTTTGGGCATGTTGCATGTTAGGTGCCTATGGACATCTAGGTGAAGAAATATTATTGCTTGTCTTAAGTTCAGAAAAGGGATTTTTTTTTATATTGGGGAATTGGGGGAGGGGACCAGCCAAGTTGTTCTTCAATCTTAGTTGTGGAGGGCGCCAGTTGCCATCTGGCTGCTCGTCGGCAGCTTGTGGCCTCTAAGCCAAAGGTGCTGTGTTCAGTCTTAGTTGTTGGTGGGCATAGCCACCATCTCATGCGGGAGTCAAACCAGCAGCCTTGTTGTTAAGAGCGCACACTCTGTCCACTGAGCCATCCGGGCAGCAGCTCACCTCAAGGTGCCAAGTTCAGTCTTAGTTGCAGGTAGGCATATCCACCATCCCATGCGGGAGTTGAACCAGTAGCCTTGTTGTTAACAGCGCATGCTCTGTCCACTGTGCCATCCGGGTAGCAGCTCAGCTCAAGGTGCCGAGTTCAGTCTTAGTTGCAGGCGGGCGTAGCCCATCATCAAACAGGCAGTCTTGTTGTTAGGAACATGTACTCTCACCAGCTGAGCCATCCTGCCACCTGTTGGCAACTCAGCCACAGCTCAGCTCGGGCACAGCGTCACTGGCCCGTGTGAGAATCGAACCAGCTGCTGTGTTGGTCAGAGCTCGCGCTCTTAAGCTAACTCAACCAACTGAGCTACTCAGCCGGCCCCAGAAAACGGATTTGAGCAAAAGTTATAGAATTGAAAGTCAATGATTCAAATGGTAAAAGACGGGAAGAGATAGGCTGAGATTATTCTGGGAAGATGTATAGAGGAAGGGGAAAGAAAATACCCATAGGCCAGAGCTCATATTACTGAAGAACATTTATTTTGGACATCCCTTATTACTATATTTCATAACTGTTGAATCTTTGTGAGAGTAAAACTTAAGTAAATGTTTGTTACAGGTTAAGGAACTCTTTTCTTCTTTGGGAGTTGAATGTAATATCTTGGAACTTGATCAAGTTGGTAAGTAGAATGGTTAGTACATACTGTTGTTTGCAATAAATGTTAACCAGATTGACTTCTTTTCATTTGCTTTGTTCATTCAACTTACTCTTGTCTCTTTGGATTAGATGAGCTGTTTTACTCTACATTCAACCATGCAGAAAATGAACAGAAATATGACATAATTTAGTGTAGTTTTTTTTTTACACTGAATTTTTTTAATTTTTCAATTACAATTGACATTCAATATTATATTAGTTTCAGGTACACAGCATAGTGGTTAGGCAGTTTTTAGAACTTACAAGATGATCCCCCCAATAAGTCTAGTATCCATATTTGTGAAGGGTGTACTAAATGTCTAACTATTACGTTGTTTTGTAAACCTGAAACTAAAAAGAAAAAAGAAAAGTGCATAGTCACAGGGATGAAAATACAGCATAGGGAATGTAGTCAATGATGTTGGTGTAGATTTTTTTATTTATTTGTTTTTGCTATTTGAGGGAGAGGGAGCGGGAGGAAGATGTATAAGCTTCTAACTTTGAAGTAATTCAGGCACTTCAGTTGAATGTGGCAACTTTTTAGCAAAGTAGATTTAAGCTGTAATAAATGAAAAGAATTTGCCCCTATTTCCTGATTGTATTACCCATGAGAAAGAAGGCATTAGTCTTTTAGTTTTATACTTTTGAATTCTTGTCAAACATGCATTTATTGATCTAATATTAATTGAACACTTTACACATACATGTGTTTTGCAGGGGTGGAAGACAGAGTGGTGAACAGAAAAAAACTGATGTCTGCTTTCAGGGGACTTCACCAGCTCCTTTTAGCCAGTCATCTTAATAAATGAAATGTTCTTGAATCTTTGAGTCTTTTCTAAAGAGTATGGTCTTAAGTAGTTATGGCCTGGTTTTAGTTTTAGGAATGGAGGATAAATTTTGATCTGTGATCATAAATATTTTTCAAATATAATTGTACAAAATATTTTCTGAATTATTAATGCTGATACAGATTTTATCTTGATATTTGCTCTTTAAAGAGGATTCTTATCTGTCTGGCACAGTCACTGAATTATATATCAAAATCTAATTTAGAAGCATTTATTTTGAAAGGAATCAGTAGATTGGTCTTTATTCTCTAAGGTTTCCTTTAAAAACCTGGATGTTTTCCCCTCGTGAGTCATTATTTCATAAAGTTATGTAACACACTGATCTTTTGTGGATGTGTACATGTGAGCATCTGAGTGTTGTAACACTTCAGTTCAACTCAGAAAGGTTTAGAACCCTTTCAATGTTATTTATTTTTCGTCTGCTGTTTGCAGACTTATTGAAATTTGATAATTTCATGTCATATGTTATGCATTTTTGGTTTTTTAAAAATTATTTGAGACATTACCAAGAATATAATGATATTTGAATTATAAATGTCTCATGGATATATTGTGTGTTTATAAGATATAAAATAAGACATATATTTAGTGAAACAGTTCAAATTTTTACTTTTAGAACCATCATTGTTGGCATTAATTCTTTTTACCTTTATTCCTTAGATGATGGGGCCAATGTTCAAGAAGTGCTGTCAGAGATCACTAATCAGATAACTGTACCCAATATTTTTGTGAATAAAGTACACATGGGTGGATGTGATCGAACTTTTCAGGTAATAATGGTATTATGTGTTCTTTAAGTCTGTTCATTTTGTTTTTAAAAATATTTAATGGAGTAAAATGGTTTTTAGGAGTTCATTTGTCTTTTGGAAGTTGCAAAATGGAAAAGCAGATCATCTTGATTACTTTGATGGAAATTAGCTCTTTAGAAACTAAGAGAAAGATTTTGTTTGAGGTTGCCAGACAACCAGGCGGGCCACCTTGGAGACCTTGGTGATCTCTTCCTCCTGATGGGGAGAGAAACAAGGGCCGTTCCCTCTTTACAGTTTAGTAAAATGAGGCCAACACTAGCATTTTTGGCTAGGGTAAGTAGAGTTCCTGCCAAGGCTGCTAACCCTGGGAGCTGTGCAAAGGTCCATCGCCTTGGATTTTCTTGATTCTTAGAATGCAGAAATAAGTAGGAGTCATTCAGTTAAGTAGTGATAGATAAAAATTGATGTTTATTAAATAAGGTCCTTGTTTTATAACTAATTACTTTTTTAAAAATTCTGCTCTTGTATCTTTTATGTATGTATGCAAATGGTAGTAATCAGTGATTGATTAAATACTTATATTTGAAATTTTAATTAAGAATCATATTTTTCTTGGGGGAAAAGATTATCTGCATTGTATGTTAATTTATGATCAGCATCATTATTTAGAACAGACTGTTTTATTAATCCTCAGAGTTATAACTCAATTCACATGGTGGTCAGTACCTTAATCGTCATCCCTAAACACCTTCAGGAGTGCTGGTCTTGCAAGCCTTAACCTAGAAAATGATGTCTGAGGATGAATCTGGAGATGCAGAGATTTCCACTCTATTTCAAGCCTGAAAGGTGTTTTCTTGGATGGCAGACACTTAGGAGACAGAGTTCTCTCCTTAGAGAGAAGTAAGGGGGCCATCTAAAAGTAAGAGGGCCAAAGGACTCCTTTTAGAATGTGCTGAAAGCATCCGTGGGCACCCATCCTTCAGGGGGCCACGTGGCATCTTTGGATTCCTGTAGTTTCATAGCGCTTTCCATTGTGCTTCCCAGGATGAGCTGGTTCCAGCATGGCATTTCTAAATCCAACATAATTGGATTGAGCAACTGACTTTGCGTAAGGAAAACTGTTGCTAAATCACATTGAACCTCTAAGCTACTTCTGATTGCAAGGGCCAGGTGAACAAGAGAATGTAGCATAGAATCAGGCTCATGACCATTGAAAGAAAAAGCAAAATGTTTGTGTTGTATAGGAAATTTATCAATAAGCTACAAAATTTAGGTTCGTTTATGAAAAACCATGAAAAACTGCGAAGTGCATGTCCTATTGATGATGCGTAAGAATTGTTTTCAGAAGGAAGCCTAGCACAGGTGCACAGAAGGCAGAGGATCTTGAAAAATGGTACTTGGCTATTTTATTGCACTTGGTTATAATAGTTCAATGATTAGACCAAGGTAAAGGACCTCATCTGACATAGATATAAAGCCATGGCCTTTGGGTCATTTGACACATGCCTAGCAATCAGGAGATAACAAACAAACATATGTACTTTGATATATGGTCTAACTAGTAGGACCTTATTTTAATACCATTCAGATAAATTTATAATTCTGATTTACATGAATTATAGATTGTTTCTAAGATATTTATAAAAGAAATCCATGCTGATTAAACATGGGGTACAAAGAAACAGTTTTAAAACAAGTCATACTGTACTCTCTCCTTTCATTAAACCATAGGCACATCAGAGTGGTTTATTACAGAAGCTTCTTCAGGAAGATTCAGCATATGATTATGACCTCATTGTCATTGGTGGCGGTTCTGGTGGCCTTGCATGTGCTCAGGTATGAAAAAATGAAACTTGAAGATAGTTTCCCTGGTGATAGCCATAAGAATTTCTTCTGCTATTTAAAAAAAAACAATGTTGATGTTACAGTCTAAGTTTTTATTGTAATTAGCTGATTGAATAAAGAGAAAAGACTGTTATGATACAAGCACAGCCTTTTTATTTAGGGAAAAGAAAAATTGGGGGAGTATTAGGGAAATGAAAAGATCTTTATTTGTGGATTTTTTTTTTTTTTATTGTAGGAAGCTGCTATTTTGGGAAAGAAAGTTATGGTGCTAGACTTTGTGGTCCCATCACCTCAGGGCACATCCTGGGGTAAGCTGTTCTTCTTTGTTGTTCTCTGCTCTTTACATATATTTTTTGCTTTGTTTAATCTCATTTAATCCTCACAACAATCTCTGGAGGTATAACTAGTCTGTTTCATATATGAGGAAACTGAGACTCAGTGAGGTGAAGTAACTGGCCTAAGATTGCATATTTAACAAGTGCTGATTTTGAAAGATAATATATAAATAATTAAGGAAGATTTTGCAAAAAAAATTCCAGGAGCCTAGTATTCCAACACTTCTGCCATAATAATTTTTGCACATATGCTGTAATATTTTCACATAGTTGTGTTTGCCATGTATACTGTTTCATGCTCACTTAAGTTAACATTTTTCTTTGTTTCTGCATTGATTTCATAATGGACTTTTATGACTGGATGATGGCCAGTCGAATTAGTGTGTGTGTGATCATTCCAGGTCAGTTTATAATAAAGTGCATAGTGAGCGTCCAGCCCTGTGACTTTGCTGTAGACGAGAATACCCACCTTTCCATTGGGTTGTCGGAAAAGTCATGATGTATTGTTTTCTGGTTTTCGTTGCAAAAATGCATGATGACTTTTCAGACAACCCAATATGTTCTTTTCACTATAAAATAGAACACATAGATTTTGTGCTGGATATTTTCTGTTTATGCTTGAAATCTGTTCTCCATTGTCTCTACCCTGCTCTATGCCCCAGAAGTCTGATGAACTGGTAGCCTTGCCTTCTGGCTTCTGGTTGGGCTTGGCCAGTTGGGGTAATGGGAGGAGAACAGGAGGGAGAAGAATGGAGATGGGTGTCTTCGTTTCCCTGTCTCACACCTTGCTGGTTCCTGCTGGCTGACTCTATCTCCCTATGGAAGGCCACAACCCCTATCATGGCCACCCCGCTTTGGGCTGTGGCGCCTACTCAGTGTGCTTGCCCCTTCGTGTGGGGTTGGTGATGGGTCCACTGTTACTTAGTTGTTACTACTCTTCTATCCCTCCTTGCTCTTTTGCCCATACCCCGATAATCATTTCCCTGTAAAATCTCCTTAGTTACGCAGCTTGAGGGTGTCATCTGTTTCCTGCTGGAACCCTCACAAAATATGAAAATTATTTTTAAAAATTCAAACCTAGTCAAAAAATTTTAGCCTAGAATTTCATATTAGTAAAGCTAATTTACCTTGCAGTGGACCTACTGTTGACTCAGAGGAGTCAGAGTTACAAACAGTAAAAGCTGGAAGCTGGCGTGCTGGCCCTTGATGTTGTATCTATCTAATTAATCTGATACAGTTATGATCCCTTTGTAGGTCAGACTCAAATGAAAGTTTTGGACTCTGTCTCCAGAAAACTGTTCAAATATGCATTCATATTTTTGCTTATCCGTGGGCCTCCTTCACGAACCCTTGGTTAAAAAGTTTGGTTTAATAATTTGTGTGCTATTGTAGAGTATGATGTTGACCCCACAACCATTAGAGTTAGTCATTTCCACATGTTTTTAATAACACCCACTCTGCACATGTGTAAAACCACATACACACATTCACACACACACAAATGCAAACACACACACGAAACATTAAAACTGTTATTTTCTTTCTCAGGTCTTGGCGGTACTTGTGTAAATGTAGGCTGTGTTCCTAAGAAACTGATGCATCAAGCTGCCCTTTTGGGGCAGGCATTAAGTGACTCAAGGAAATTTGGCTGGGAGTATAATCAACAAGGTGGGTAATGGTATATAAAAATATAGATTGGGAGAAAAGAAAGAATTAGTTTCCTAGAAAAAGACTTGCCATTTAAATTTGTATAGCTGAGTTTGAACATTATTAATAAACACTGATTATGAACTTCCTATGTGTCAGTCACGCACAGGGGACTCAAAGGTGATCATTTAAACCTGGCCCTGCTCTCATGGGCATTACTGCCTAGAAGGGAATTGTTGCTGCTATACCATTCCAAACCCTTAGTAGGCTGTGAGAGATAATAATTCCTATTTTCAGATTTCTTTCAAGTATAAAGAAAATAGAATTGCAAGAGTCATTATTTGGATTTTTTCCATTATTTTGATAATATTGTTTTATCAAGTGTTATGTATGTATGTCTTTGATTAGTGAAAAATGGAAAACAAATTCATCCAATAAACTTTTACTGATTAGGCTCTGAGGCTATAGGTATGTGAAAATATAGTTCCTGCCCTTATGCAGCACACAGTCTGTTGAAAGAGAAGAGAAGAGAAGCCACTATAATTCATGGTGCTGTTTTGAGCATCGACTTGAGGGGCACTTAATGTAGCCTCGAGGGTCAGAGGTAGGGGGAGATGACCCTTGAGCTGCATCTTGAAGTAGGACATTTACAACAGGAAGCAGCTGGACCCAAACTATGGAGATGCGAGAAAACATGGAGTACCTGGGGAATAGTGAGTGACTGAAGTGAAGAATGGGAGAGGGATGTTGGGAAAAATGAGATTAGAGAGGTAAGCAGGTCACGAAGGTTCTTAAATCACATTTTGAGGAGTTAAAATTTACCCAAAGGCAGCAAGAGCTGTTGAGCAGTTTCAGCAGGAGAGGAGTATGAACCACAGTTTGGATTCTGCACTTGATTTTAGCCAAAAGGCCGAGAAGTGATCACAGTTTGGATTCTGGATCCCTCTGATGGCACCAAGGAACTTAGAAGGCTGGAGGTGGGAGGGGAGTGGTCAAGTCCAAAGACAAAGAAGTGAGGTGGAATGCTGTTGCATGACCCGGAGGAGAAGTGAGGCCTGGACAAAGACTGTGAAGTTGACTGGAGAGGAGTTAAGCCACAGAATTGACAGGTTAGATGTGGAATGATGATCTTGTATTATCAAAATAACATGTGGAGTTTTAATGTAACATATAATATTATTCAACGGCAGCTTCAGATGTACAGTGCAGTGGTCAGGCCTCTACACCGACCATGATGACTTCTTGACATGTGCACCCTTGCTTGTGCCCACTGCCTCACACTGTGACTGCTCCACACTTTCAGGAAGGAGACAGCAGGGTGTATGCTCACTCCATGTTACCTCCCCTGAGGAGCCAGTTGATGATCTTGAACTCTAAAGTGCTTAATATTTCCAAATAATTTCTAATTTCCTTGAGTGGGTAAAATTTTAGATTCCTCAAAGTTCCCCACATACAAAATACTTCTAAGTTAATTTTGAGGTGCTATACTAAGAAATACCTAGTTAGTTATCACATGGAAATTGGGGCTTAGAAATTTTTAGGCATAGGTTCAGTGAATGACCAAGAACAGTCAACAGATCTAAGAGGCAAGAGAAAAGAAGTAAAAGCATGCTGAAATCTTGTTAGGGAAGATGTTCTAGATACTTTCATTCTTAATGTTGATAGACACATATATATTAAAATAAATTAAAAATGTATACATAATCTCCAGATTCGAAATTGAATGTAGAACTTCCAAGTAAAAGAAAGGGAAGAGGAAAATATACAACGAAACAGCATGAAACTACAACTTAAAACAAATAAAACAACAGAAAATAAGATACCCCACATAAGAGCAGTCTTTTACATATTAGAATAAAGCTGAATGGGTCAGATTATCAGGTCAAGTAAATAGCAAAATTCTTTCACATGCTGTTTACAAAAGACACACACCTAAAACCAAAAGAGATAATTGTTGAAAATATAGGAATTTTTAAATAGATGGGAAATATTTTAATAGGTAAAAAAGATATCAGGGAAATGCAAAGCAAAGCAATGGCAGTTAATGTCAAATAGGTAGACTACACGGCAAAAACAACAACCAAAACAAATAAAATTTTGGAATTAACGAGTGAATACCTTCCCCAAAATATTGGGTTGTTGGAAAAGTCATGACGCATGTTTGCGACAGATGATACTAGTTCATTTTTGGAAGTACTAGAGTCATTTGCATCTATGTTATTGCTATGTCATTTGACAGCTGACAGTTCTAGCTTTCTTCTAAAAAAAAAATTGACTGATTTGGTTGATTTTGGGAGATTTTACGACAAGTTGAAGATGGAAGACCAAACTGCATTTTTGCCATATTTTACTGTCTTCTATAAAAGAAAGAATGTGCATCAAGCTTGTGAAAAGTTGCATAAAGTTAATGGTGACAATGCTCTACAAGAAGGTCAGTGCCAGTGATGGCTCACAAAATTCTGTGCAGGTGATTTTGATCTCAACGACACTCCTCGGTCAGGGAGGTCCACCGAGGTTGATGACGACAAAATAAAGGCATTGATCGAGTCAAACCCACGTTACATGACACAAGAGATTGCAGAAACATTGAACATCCATCATTCAAGCGTTCATGACCATCTGAAGAAGCTGGTCTCAAAGAAGTTCATTTGACAACGCGTATAAACATCTGCAATATGCTCATTAAATACAAGGAAAATGTACCTTTTTTGAAGCAACTGATAACTGGTGATGAGAAGTGGATTGTTTACAAAAATGTGGTGCACAAACGGTCTTGGTCCTGACCTGATGAATCGCTTAAAACATCGAAAAAAGATATTCATCAGAGGAAGGTTATGCTCTCAGTGTGGTGGGATTTTAAAGGTATCATGTTTTTCGAGCTCCTGCCAAGGAACCAAACAATCAGTTCAAATGTGTACTGTCGGCAATTGGACAGCTTGAACAAATCCATTATCCAGAAACGTCCAGAGCTTGTTAATTGTAAAGGAGTTGTGTTCCATCACAACAATGCGAGACCACACACAAGTTTGATCACCTGTCAAAAATTATTGGAGCTTGGATGGGATGTGTTGCCATACCCACCATACTCGCCTGACCTTGTGCCGTCAGACTTCCACTTGTTTCGCTCTCTTCAAAACTCCTTGCGTGGTATAACATTCCATTCAGATGAGGCTGTAAATCAGCACCTTGTTCAGTTTTTCGCAAATAAAGACAGGTCCTTCTATGTACAAGGAATTATGAAGCTCACTAAAAGATGGCAAAAGGTTATTGAACAAAACGAGCAATATATTATTGATTGATCTTCATTCTTTATATAAATAAATGACCTTTGAAAAACATAGACAAAATACGTCGTGACTTTTCCAACAACCCAATAGAAGTGATAAAGAGTATATTTGAAAATACAAATAAAGTAGTCCTTTGGCAAGTCCAGTCAAGGAAATAAGGAGAGAAAATTCATACAAATATGCAGCATTAGGTATGAGAACAGAAATACAACTACAGATAAGAGATAAAACAAATTGAGTAATGGTAAGAATTTTAAATATCTCGATGAAAAGGAATATCTTCTAAGAAAATAATAAGTGACCAGAATTGACTTGAATAATTAGAGAAAACATTGAAACATTGTCTAAAAAGAACCCATTCCCCAAGACACCATAGATTTACAAGTAAATTTTCTTAGATCTTCAAGAACAGATACTTTGTAATTTAAACTATATCGAACTTAGAAAAAGATGGGAGAGGATTATTATTTTTTTTTGAGGCTGACATGATGATACAGAAAAATAGTATAAAAATAGAAAACTATAGCCCATAGAGGTGCCAAAATTCTAGAAAAAAACATTAGCAAATCCTGTCTAGCAGTGTACTAAAAGAATGCTCTGTGACTTATGAGGGTTCATTCTGGGGATGCAAGCTTGAGTCGACATTAGGAAATCATACTAGGAATAAATAAAATCATTAGTAAAATAAGCAAAGAAATGGACACTTCCTTTACATGATGAAGAAAAGTCAGAAGCAGATATTTAATGGAAAAGAGCTTGAGGCCTTTGCATTAAAGTCAAGACTAAGACACTTTCATTACTAATATCTACATTGTTTTGGTGCTTCTAACCAAGGCACAAAAGGAAGAATAGGAAAGAAAAGTGCATATTTGAAAAGGAGGAAGAAAAAGATATTGTAAATTTATAGTGTGAATTGTATATATGTATGTGTATAGTATGAACTGTATATGTATGTATTTATAGTATGAATTGTATAGTATGTTGTATATATACAGCATACCTAGAATGTGCAAGAGATTGAACTAAAAATATTAGAACTAATAAGAATTCAGTAAATTGCTCATAAATGTTCAGTAAGTTGCTCAAAATGCAAAAATAAATAGCTTTCTTACATATCAGCAATAATGTTAAGTATATAGTGGAAAATTGCAACAAAAATGATAGAATAACTTGGAATAAATTTAACTAGGAGTGTACAAAATATACAGAGGTTGCCAAAATAATGTACACACATTTTAAGAAAGGAAAAAACTGGATTAAAATGGTAATACTCAATATATACTGCTAACAAAAGATGAATACAAGTCACGTTTGACTTCTGCAATTACAAGAGGTGCTCAAAGTGTTCAGACACTTCTAATTACAGCAAACTACTGCTTGAGCAACGTTGACTAAAGTGTCCACTTGTATCACTGCGCATGCCATTTCAGTTTCTTCACTCAGTACCATGCGTCTCAAACTTATCACGAATGTGTGCAGTTGTTAAACATATTGGAAGTTCTGTTGCAGACTTACATCTCCATTGTCGTTGTACTTCCACAACATTCTCAAATTTCAAATAACACTTCAAAAAGTCTTGCAATCCTCCAACGACAACCATGCTTCCGCCATATTTTTTACTGTCCTGCCTGTCCCAAGGTGACACCAAATTCATTTGATTAATGCCATCTTTTGAGTGAATATCATACTACACATTGCTACTATAATTCAATTCAACTTCAAAAGTAATACATAGATAATGTCTCTTAAAATGTGTATAAGGACCGGCCGAGTGGCTCAGTTGGTTAAGAGCTCACTCAAGAGTGCGAGCTCTGAGCAACAGTGGTTCAATTCCTGGCCTGAAATGAGCTGCCAACAGGTGGCAGGATGGCTCAGCTAAAAAAACAAACAAACAAAAAAAATGTGTATATATTTTTTTGGCACCCCAGGGATAAGAAAAGAATATAAAAGCATAACAAAAAATATACTCTGATTTTGGAGGGGATTTCTCCAAATAAATAAAGACATTATTTCAAAATTAATTTGTAAATTTTATCTAAGTCCAGGAAAAAAAATATTGATAAATTTTTTTTCCTTTTAGAACTTGACAGATTATTCTAATGTTCCTATTGAAACGTCTGAGGATAGCTATGCAATCTTTGAGAAAGTATAAAGAGTGACTTTTCCTGTCAGTATTTAGAATCATGATACTGTTGCAGGACTAAACAGATTAATAAAATAGTAAAGCAAGTGATTCCATAATGCCAGTCCATAGACTTGCCATATTGAAATCTCCTGGGTGAGCTTTTTAACTACAGGTTCTGAGGTCCTGCTCCTGATTGCATAGATTTGAGGTGGGTCTCAGGATCTGTATATTTTGACATGATTCCCAGGGGGTCCTGATGTTTGGGAACCTCTAATATAGAATGCCTTCACCCTGGTTATTTATTTTCAGTGAAGCACAACTGGGAGACCATGACAGAAGCAATTCAGAACCACATTGGCTCTCTAAATTGGAACTACAGGCTGTCTTTGAGGGAGAAGGCTGTGGCCTATGTAAATTCCTATGGAGAATTTGTCGAACATCATAAAATAAAGGTACTGTTTGAATATTTTGTCAATTTCTTTTCCTTGCTACTGCTTGTACTTGCCTTGAACTAAAATTCTACATTGCATGTTAAGGACTATAGCTAGTGCTTTTGCGTGTATGGCTGTGCATGCACATGTATTTCTCCCACTGTTTGTGGATTGCATACATTGGCTAAATTGAAGAAATTGCCTTTTAAAGAACTTTCAATTTAAAGTTATTTGCCATTTGATTTCATTGCCATCTTAAAAGAGAAAATGTTTAAATAGTTCAAAGTTTAAATAGTAAAGAGATAAAAATTTTAGCCCTGTTAATTCCTTTTTAAAATTACCTAAAATTCCATATATATTACTCATAGAAACATTAATTAAAGTAGTATCAGAATTAGTATATTTTATAAATTTGTATTTGTAAGGTTTATGTATTTAAGGTCAACATGTAAGAAAAATGAGATCATTTTGATGAACCCAAAAATTTTAAATTGGAGTTATGAAAGAGATCAAATATCCTCAACATGTATAATAGTTCTTTTTTTTTTTTAATTAGTTTCAGGTGTGCTCTAGTTCATTTTTGTACTCTGCTTTCGTAGCAGAGTGTGTGATGACCTTGACAGGATTTGAGGTTACAGTAAAACCTTGGATTGTGAGTAACTTGGTTTGCGAGTGTTCTGCAAGACGAGCAAACATTTCTAACACATTTTAACTTGGTAAACAAGTGATGTCTTGCAATACGAGTAGTTTGTTTCTGGAACGAATTATGCTTGCAAACCAAGATACTACTGTAGTTTGTAATCATTTGTTGTCTCTAGAAAGGTTTGAGGTGGTCCATTAAAGTTGCCCTTTAGACTATGCCTGGCTGATTTGAATTGTATCATCTACATGAAACATAGTAGAAATACAAATCAGTCAGTTTTAGTCCTCAAACTGTCTAATGCCTTGCACGGTTGGTTGAATAGCTGATCTTTCTAAGAAACTTCAGGTTCCTCCCATGTCACCTTCACAGCCAGCACTTTCGGTCTATTGCAGGTCCCTGTTTAAACCACCCCTTGTTTAAATACCTTCATTGCTTTTTGAATTTTTAAAATGCAAATGTATTTATGATTTACTTGTATAATTGAAAATAAACAATGAACAGCCATTATTGATTCTCCATAGCCTGGAGTTTTATGATGGCACAGAAGGGTCTTTACATTTGGCACTAATCTGTGTGACTTTACCTCTGATACCTATCCTCCTCTCCTGTCACTCTGGCCACTTGCTGTTTCCCAGACACCAGCTGCTTTCAGGCCTGTGTGCATTTTTATGTACTGTTCTCTGTTTAGGTTTCCATTCCTCTCAAATCTTTTCACTTTCCTTATCTCCACTTGAAATGTGACCATCTTTGAAGCCATTCTTGAGGCTTTCCAGTCCCCTATTCCACCCCTACTGTGGTCTTTTGGTTACTATTTTGTAAAGACTTCTGTTTTCTGTGGTGGTGCTTATCACACTGCATACTATGCCTGTTAATGGGAAGCTCCGTAGAGGGTAGTAATTAGTTTGTCCATGTTGTCTGGTATTCTGTGGTATTTATTGAAAAATGAAATTTACTTTTCTTTTTTTAAGGCAACCAATAGAAAAGGACAGGAAACTTGTTATACTGCTGCAAAATTTGTCATAGCAACAGGTGAAAGGCCACGGTATTTAGGAATCCAAGGAGACAAAGAATACTGTATTACTAGGTAAGATTAAATAGGCCATTTTAACTGTAAATTGTATTATGTTTATGTGTTCCTATTTATTTATTCCCTGTCTTATTTCACAAAGATTTGAATTGATGAATAAAGGTATATGCAATTCTAGAAGCTAAGTAGTTAACATAATGGAACAAAGAGAAAATAAGTTTAGGTAAGTAATAAGGTCAAATTTATACATAAAAATATGCTATGTGTTTCTAGGTAATTGCTATGAGAATTTAGCTCTAAACTTCCTAGATGCCAAAACAAAGAAGTTAATGCAATTAGCTTTAGGTTTTAGTGTCTATATAATAATAATCAGGAGAATCATAGCTATTCCTTATACTAAGATTTAATAGGAATCCTCCCTGGATGGTCATAAAGAAGACAATGTGCAACATAATACATGACTCTGAAACTTTTTTAATCAGATGCACATTAAGAAATACATTTTCGTTGCACTGTTGTTCAGGTGAACACACACACATACACACACAAAAAACAATATTTCTTCTTGTCGCGTATATTGTAGTCTAATATTTTCTGTTGTTTTTTTTAAAAAAAACTTTGCTGTGATCTACTAATTTGATTTTGAAAAATCTGAAGTATACTTCTTACTCCACAGGAGACACTATTACAAACAACAAAAGGCTATTTCTTTTAGTGTTTCTTCATTCAAGCCCCAAAATACAATTTAGCCAACAAAAAAACCATTATATATTGAAACCTAAATGACCCATTTCATTTTTATTGCCTAGGTGTTCTTTTTGTTATTTTTCTTTTTCAGTGATGACCTTTTTTCTCTGCCTTATTGCCCTGGCAAAACGTTAGTAGTTGGTGCATCTTATGTGGCTCTGGAATGTGCAGGATTTCTTGCTGGCATTGGCTTAGATGTCACAGTTATGGTGCGTTCAATCCTTCTTCGTGGCTTTGATCAAGAAATGGCAGAGAAAGTGGGTTCCTACATGGAACAACATGGTATTAAGTTCCTAAGAAAATTTATTCCAGTAATGGTGAGTCTGAATGACATTTGGAATTCCTTTTTATTCCCTCTTTAGCCTTTTATTTTACCCCTTCTTAATTGGTCTGTATTCAGTATGAAACCTTAAAGATAGTGTTCCCATCCCATATCTACAAACTGGCCCCCTTTGTCCCTGTCTTTTCTTCCTGATATGGAGGTGTCCTTGCTCCTCTCAGCCCAGTTCCTTCTTCTCTCACCGTTCCCACCTTTTCAGGGATTTCCCACCTTCAGCTCGTCATCATCTTTCCCCCTCTGTCATGCCCTTTAGTGTCTCTGCTCTTTAAACAAATAAGCCCGCCCTCCCCTTTCTGCCTTTCTGGGTGCATCCTCATTTTTCTTTTCCCCTTTACAAGAAAACTTCCATTCATTTTTTACCTCATTTCCCACTTCCACCGATTCTCAGCTGCTTTCATTCATGCCACTCCTTTGAAATTGCTTGTCATGGTTTGTAGCAAACTCCCTGTTGTCAAAGCCAATGGTCACATCTCTGTCCTTATCTCGCTGGGCCTTTGGCAGCATTCTTTCCATTTGAAACACTCTCCTTTCTCAACTTCTCCGGACCCACAGCCTATGGTTCCACATGTACTCAACTTGTAAATATCAGAGTACCTGGTCCCTCTTCAGGTCACTGCCCTTTTTACCTGGGCAGTCTTCTTTAGGTCCATATTTTGTTATCTCAATGCTGATGGCTCTCAGATTTATATATATTGCTCAGGCATCTCTCCTGAACAACACACTGATTTGCACAGCTGCCTACTGGATATCTTCACTTCAATTCCTCATAAGCATTTCAAATTTAACAAGACAAAAATAAAACTCTTGGTTTTCTACCTAAATGTATTCCCCTGCTAATCTTTCTGACCTGTCTCAGTGCTCAGTAAATGATACTACAGCCCACACAATTTATTGAGCCAACACCTAGAAAGTATCCCTTCATTCTTCCTTTTATGCTACCTCCAACTAATCCATTAATTTATTTCTACCTCCAAAATGTATCTTGTGACAGTTCTTTTTTCTCTATGTCTACTTAGTCCAAAGCCCTAAATACATATACACATGTATTATACACACACACGTACACATACCCACTTACGTGTATACCCTATGACCCATTTATTTTCTGTCCCCTTTAGATAGAATCATTACATTATTTATCCTAACTAGGTTCAACAGTTGGAGAAAGGTCCACCTGGAAAGCTGAAAGTAGTGGCAAAATCCACTGAAGGACCCGAAACTATGGAAGGAGTATATAACACAGTAAGTTTTTATTATATAAGCAGTAAGTGGTTGAACACACAAATTAGCACAGGTGAAGCTTATGGGAAAATTATACCAGGCTTAACATTTTTTATTTTTTTGGATTCTTTGTAAGAATATAAAAAATATGGAAGGTAGTTGGTCTGTTGATATTTGATAGTAGTACGTGAAGAATACTATGGTCAAATACATGTGTGTGTATAACTGCATAGAACAAAATCTGGAAGCAGATATACCTGACTGTACTTACTTCAGGGGCATTAGATACACATTTCTGCATTTGAATATTTTTACAATAAACATTGACTCTGTCTTATAATAAAAAACAACAATAAAGATATTTCATTGTCAAAAAATAAACAACATAAAATCTCCAAAAAGTCTGAATAGTCCCTGGACTATTTTGGAAGGCAACAGTTCTAATTTAAACTGATGATGTTTGGATGCCAACATTTCTTTTGTAAACTGTAGTTTATAGTTTTAACATAAACTATACATTTATGTTTTATAGATTCTTTTATACATGATTTCTTTTAGTTACATAAGGAAACAACGTAGAGACCACAAAGCCAACCTATATAATAAAACCAAAAAAACCCTTCTTTGATAATTTATCCTTAGATTATTTTGCATTTTCTTTGTACACAGTAGTATTATTTGTGGACAACAACAATTTTGTTTTCTCTTTTCCACTGTTTTCCTTGTTAGTTCTTTTTCTTGCATAAGTGCAGTAGCAAGCCCTCCAGTACAGTGTTAACCAGAAATGGCCGTGGCTGACATTCTTGTCTTGTTCTCGATATCAAAGGAAAGCTTTCAGTGTTTCATTAAAGAATAATGTTGTCAGTAGGGTATTGGTAGATACTCTTAATCAAGTTAAAGAAATTCTTTTTTGTTTCTTGTTTGCTAAGGGTTTTTTAGTTATTTGGGTTTTCCTTCTTTTTAAATCATGAGTGGAACTTTTGAGATCTTGCTTCATGGCAATTATCATCAATTTGGCTCAAATAAATTTTTACAAAAATTCTCAAAAAAACCCAAAAAAACAAAACAAAAAAAATCATGAGTGGATGAGTTCAGTTGTAACAATGTTCCTTTCATAGCTGTTGTTGATCAAGATATTTTTTCTTTAATTTATTAATGTCTTGAGTTATATTGATTTTCTAATCGTCATTCAGCTTTATATTCCTGGTATAAACCCAGCTTGGTAAAGGCCCTATTGTTGAATTTGTTTATTAAGAATTTTTGGGGCTGGCTGAGTGGCTCAGTTGGTTAAGAGTTAGCTTAAGAGTGCGAGCTCTGAGCAACAGGGCCACCGGTTGATAGCCACATGGACCAGTGATGCTGCAACTGAGCTGAGCTGTGGCTGAGCTGCCAACAGTTGGCAGGATGGCTCAGCTGGTGAGAGCATGTGCACCTAATAACAAGACTGCCTGTTAGATGGTGGGCTACACCTGCCTGCAACTAAGACAGTACTCGGCACCTTGAGCTGAGCTGCTGCCCAGATGGCTCAGTGGACAGAGCATGCGCTTTTATAACAACAAGGCTGCAGGTTCGACTCCCATATGGGATAATGGCTACGCCCATTCGCAACTAAGATTGTAACAGAGCACCTTGATCTTAGAGGCCACGAACTGCCAATGGGCAGCCAGATGGTGACTGGCGCCCTCCACAACTAAGATTGAAGAAAACAACTTGGCTGGTCCCCCTCCTCCAATTCCCCAATTAAAAAAATAAGTAAATAAAAATAATAAAAAAGAATTTTTGCATTATATTCATGAATCATATTGGCTTATAATTTCCTTTCACATACTGAACTTTTCAGATTTTGATATCAAAGTTATTCTGGCTCATGAAAGAAGTTTTGGAGTATGTTCCCTCTTTTTCTGTTCTCCGAAACCATTTATGTAATATTAGAGCATTCTTTGTATGTTTGATAGAATTCACTGATGCTACTATCTGGGTCTAGAATTTTTTATTTATCTGTCTAGAGAGAGAGAGAGAGAGAGAGAGAGAGAGATTTGAACACTAATTCATTTTTTTTAACAGTCTAAGGAATTTTAAGGCTTTCTATATTTTTCTTTAGATACTCTTGAGTAGTTACATTTTTTAGGAATTAGTCTGTTTCATCTAAGTAGACAAACATATTGGTATAAAGTTGTTCACAATATCTAAATTTGTAAATTGTTTATTTTTGTAATGCGGTATATAATTTACATGTAGCAAAATGCACAGGTCTTAGATGTTCTATCAGTTTGACAATTGCACGTTTCTGTAATCCACACTCCTTTGAAGGTAACAAAACATTTCTTTGAGTTTAGAAAGCTCTCATATTTCTTCCCACTCCCTGACCCTAAGCAACGCTATTCTGATTCTGTCATCATAGACTAGTTTTGCCTATTCTTGTAATCAAAGAAATGGAACCTAATAGTAGATACTCCTTGATATCTGGTTTCTTTTATTCAGAATGATGTTTCTAGGATCCATCCATGTTGTTGTGTGTATCAGTAGTTCTTTTTATTGTATGAATTGTATGAATATGCAGTTGTATGATTGTACCACAGTTTATTCGTTTTCCTGTGGATGGACACCTAGGCTGTTTTCAGTTTAGGCTAATTGTGACTTAAATTCCTATGAAAATTTCTAGTATAAAGCCTTTTGTGGACATATATTTTCATTTCTCATGGGTAAATAAATACCTAAAAGTGAAAATGCTTGGTCCTACCGTAACGCCTATGTTTAACTTTTTGAGAAACTGCCAAACAGCTTCCAAATGATCGTGTCATTTTATATTTCTGTCAGCCATGCATGAGAGTTTTGGTTGTGCCATACCCTCACTAACATTTTGGGTTGGCTGGCTTTTTCATTTTAGGTATTCTAATGCATGTGTAGTGGTATCTTATGGTTTTGATTTTCATCTTCCTGATGACTGATGATGTTGAGCAATTTTTCATGTGTTTATTGGCCATTTATATATTTTCCCTTATGCAATGTCTGTTTGAATCTTTGTGTCATTATTTATTGGGTTATTTCAACTTTTATTCTTGAATTGCAGGAGTTCTGTGTATATCTTGGATATTTTTTTTTAGGTATATGTATTATGAATATTTTCTTCCCACCTGTGACTTGCCTACTTATTTTTTATGGCATCTTTTGATGAGTAGTCGTTTTAAATTTTTTATAAAGTCCAGTTTATCAGTTTTTTTTTATGGTTAATGCTTTCTGTGTGCTCTAAGAAATCTTTGCTTTCTCAAAGATTGTGAAGATATTCTCTTATATTTTCTTTTTGAAGCTTTATAGTTTTATGTTTGGATCTGTAATCCATCCTGAATTAATTTTTGTTTATGGTGTGAGGTAGAAATTGAGGTCCTTTTTCTTCCATATGGGTATTCAGTACCATTTGTTGAAAACACTTTCCTTTCTCCATTAAATTGCTTTGGTGCCTTTGTTAAAATCATTTGACAGCTTAACTGTCAGTCTGTTTCTGCAGTCTTTATTCTGTTGACCATTTGTCACCTTTAACCAGCACCACATTATATCAGTGTGTGTGTGTGTGTATGTGTGTGTGTGTGTTTTAAGAAACAATAATGTTTTATTGCTATCAGCAGGAGTGGCCTGCATGGGGTGGTGGGTGCGCCGGGCGTAGGAGTGGTCTGGAGGCCAGCTCCCAGAGCTCCTCAGATATACTTCTGGGAACGGGTAAAGGAGTTATGGCAAGCTACCGCCAAGTCACCAATAAGATTAACAAATTCTTGGAAATCTAGCTGCCCATCACAGTTGAGGTCCAGTTTCTTCATCATGCAGTCAAGGACACTGGGGTCCTTCTGGTTCTTTTTGAGGGCAGCTAGTTCTGTATTCATTAAGGTTAGGAACTCAGTCTTGGAGAGATTGCTCTTGTTACCGCCCTTTCCAGCATACTTCTGGAAAACAGCAATCAGAGACTCGATGTACTGCTCAGTCTCTGTAGGGCTGGACATTTTTGCCATGTGAGAGTGGAGTGAGGCGCAGAGGCTGGGAGCTGGGAGTGGTGCGCTGAGCTCTACCTGGTTGGCTCCACATCGTTGATTATCGAAGCTTATAGTAAATCTTAGACCAGGAAAAGCCCTCCAACTTTGTTTAGTTCCTTTATATTTCCATATAAATTTTAAAAACAATTGCCAATTTTTGTTTTTTTAAAGGCTGCCAAGATTTTAATTGGGATTGTATTGTATAGATCAGTTTGGAAGAACTAACATGTTAATAATATTGATATTTCCAATGCATGAACTTCTTATATCGTTTCTTATTTGCATATTCTTTAGTTTCTCTCAGCAATATATTATTTTGCTTTAGAGGCCTTTCATGTATTTTGCTGAGGTTTAGTGAATATTTGACAGTTTTCAAGCTATTGTAAATGGTATTTTTAAGTTTTTATTATAACTTTCAGCAGTTAGTTGGTAGTATATAAAAATACAAATGATTTATGTCTGCATATAAAACCAGTTTGGTTTCTTCTTTCCAATCTGCGTGCTTTTTATTTCTTTTTCTTGCTTTGTTGCACTGGTTACAACCTCTAGTACAGTGATGAATAGAAATTGTGAATGTGCATCCTCATCCTGTTGCAATCTTATGGGTGATCTTAGGCATTCAGTCTTTCATGATTATTAGGACGTAAGCTTTTTTACAAATGCCTTATGTCAGGTTGGGGAAGTTTTCTTTTATTCTTAGTGTGCTGAGAGGATTGAGGATTTAATTAAAATCCTCAAAGGGTGTTAAGTTTTGTCAAATGCTTTTTTTCACATCTATTAGGATGATTAAATTGCTTTCTCCTTTATTCTGTTAATATGATGAATTAAATTGATTGATTTTTGCATGTTAAACCAAATTTGTATTTTGGGGACAAACTTCACTTGCTCATGATCAATTATCCTTTTTACATATTGTTATATTTGATTTGCTGAGATTTTGTTAAGGATTTTGTGTCTGTGTTCATGAGGATATTGGCTTATAATTTTATTTAAATATTCTTTTTTTATTTTGGTTTCAGATGTTTATGCTAGCCTCATAAAAAGGAGTTTGGGAAAGTTCCCACCTTTTTTCTAGAAGAGTTTGTGTACCAGTATTATTTCTTACTTAGGTGTTCAGTAGACTTTACCAGTGAAGTCATCTGGGTCTGGAGTTAATTTATGGGACGTTTACAAACTGTAAATTCAGTTTCCTTAATGAGTATAGAGGATATTAGTCTGCTAGGGCTGCCATAACCAAATATAAGATGGTTTAGGCAAAGGGAATTTCGTTTCTCGCACTGGAATCCAGAAGTCTGAAATCAAGGTGTCAGCATATTTGGTTTCTTCTGAGGCCTCTCTCATTGGCTTGCAGATGGCTGCCTTCTCCCTGTGTTCTCACATGATCACTCCTCAGTCTGTGTTGTGTGTGTCTTAATTGCTCTTTCTGTAAGGACACTAATCATATTAGATCAGGGCCTCCCCTAGTGGCCTTGTTTTACCTTAATTACCTCTTTAAAGGTTCTTTCTCCAAATACATTCACATTCCTGAGGTCCTGGGGGTTAGGACTTCAACATATGGATTTGGTGGGGACATAATTTAGCACACAACATAAGGTTACTCAGATTTGTATGTAAGTTTGGTAAATTGTGTCTTTCAAGGAGTCTATTTGGGGAATGTAATGTACAGCATACTGACTATAATTAACAATACTGTATTATATATTTGGAAGTTGCTAAGAGAGTAGATCTTAAAAGTTCTCATAAAAAAAAAATTGTAATTATGTATGGTGATGGGTGTAACTGGACTTATTGTGGTCATTTTGCATTATATACAAAGATCGACTCATTATGTTATACACCTGAAACTAACATAATATTATATATCAATTATACCTCAATTTAAAAAAACGCATTTTGACCTCAAAAAAAAATAAGGAATCTATTTCATCTAAGCTGTCAAATTTATTGGCATAGGACATTCATAATAGTTATTAGCTTTTTAATGTCTGAAGGATCTATAGTGATGTTCCCTCTTTCATTCTTTTTTTTTAAAGATTTTATTGGGGAATTGGGGGAGGGGAACAGCACTGGGGAATCGGGGGAAGGGGAACAGACAAGTTGCTGTCATTTTGTTCTTCAGTCTAGTTGTGGAGGACGTTGCTTCACTGGCCCAAGTTGGCACCATCATTGCGCTCTTCCTAGGCGAGGCAGATCAGTCGCTGGCTTCTGGACGGCCGCTCATGGCAGCTGCTGGCCGTTCACGCTGGCTGCCGGCTACACACGGTGGCTTATGGCAGCCCACTGCAGCAGGGGACTGCATCCTACGCCGTCGCTGGCAACCCACGGCAGCCCAGCCCCGGGTCGAGCTGCTATTCACCATCTTAGCTGCAGAGGGCAGTGTCACTGGTCCTCATATGTGGGATCCGAACTGGGACCCTCTGGCATCACAAGGCAGTTCTTAACCAATGCGCCACTTGGCCGGCCCGCCTTTTTCATTCTTGATACTGATGATTTATGTTTTTTATCTCTCTCTAAATACAGGTTTTGTTAGCAATTGGTCGTGACTCCTGTACAAGGAAAATAGGCTTGGAGAAGATTGGTGTCAAAATCAATGAGAAGTATGTACATGTGGGATCATTGCACTATTGTTGCACAAAGCAAAATGTTTCTACAGATCACCTCTTAGAAATTTTCATTTAATTGCTAAGATGCAAATTTGTAATACTTTAAATTTTTGTTTTACATTTTTTATTAGTTTCAAATGTACAAAGCAACATAATAGACATTTATACCCCTCACAAAGTGATAACCTCCCTCCCTCAAGCTACTACCCCTCTGACATCTTAAATACCTGTTACAATACCATTGACTATCTTCTTTATGCTATACTCTCCCTCCCGTGACCATATGTATTGGTTGTCGGAAAAGTCATGATATATTTTTTCTGTTTTTCGTTGCAAAAATGCGTCATGACTTTTCCGACAACCCAATAATTATAGTTGACACGCAGTATTATTCTGCTTCAGCTTCAGGTGTATAGCACATTGGTCATGCATTTACAGTTTATAAAGTGATCCCCTTGATAAGTCCAGTGACCATCTGGCACCTTACATAATCTTTACAACATCGTTTATTATATTCCCCATATGTATTTCATATCCCCTTGACTGTATTGTGTCTACTTATTTGCACTTTCTAATCCCTTCACCTTCTCCCCCATCCCATCTAGCAACCAACAGTTTTTTTTCTATATCTCTGAATCTATTTCCATTTTGTTTGCTCATTTATTCTGTTGTTTAGATTTCACATATAAGTGAGATCACATGGCATTTGTCTTTCTCAGCCTGACTTATTTCACTTAACATGATATTCTAAAGGTTCATCCATGTTGTTGCAAATGGTAAGATTTGATTCTTTTTTATGGCCGAGAATACTCCCTGAAACTAATTTTTTTAAAAAGTTAGATTAAAAAAGAAGAAGAAGAAATGAACAAAAGGTATGTGAAAAACACGGATGAATCTCAAAACAATCATTCTGAGTAAAGGAAGCCAGGCCAAAAAAAAAGGATATATACTATAAGATTCTATTCATATAACAGTGTAGAAAATGAAAACGAACAGTAACAGAAAGTAAATAAGTGGTCGTCTGAGGAGAGGGCATAGGAAGGGCAGAGGGAGGGATTACAAAGAGGCAAGAGGAAACTCTGGGGATGATAGATGGTTTCACAGGTGTGTGCACACACATGTCAAAACTCACCAAATTATACTTCAATAAAACTGTTAAAATTGAAAACATAAATTTATTTTACAGTAAATACTGACGTAGCTCTGTGTTATTAATTTTTCATTAACCAGTCACTATTTATTGTATGTCTTAAAGAGCTCATGCATGATTTAAAAAAATAATTGTGGAGACGTATTCACCTACTGTCTGATTTAGAGTGAATTTTTATGTCCTGGGTGAAGCAAGGAGAAAATTTTCAAAGCTATAAGTGCAGTTCTGGGGGAAATCTGGCAACATAATCATCATCCAAAAACACTAGCATGGCTTCATCAACCAGAAATGTGTTTTCTTTTGGAGCTACAGAAACCCCTGTTATTGTAAGCTATTGGTCTTACAGACAGTTGATAACCTGCGGTGCATAGTTCTCAGAGAGACGTATTTTCTCTGTGTATTTACTCTGTCTCTTGGAATAGTGTTAGTCATCTAGCAGTATAGAATTAGTCGTAATATATTGTTTTCCCTTCCAAAATCTAATAGGAGTGGCAAGATACCAGTAAACAATATGGAACAGACCAATGTGCCCTATGTTTATGCTATTGGGGATGTTCTGGAGGGTAAACTTGAGCTCACTCCTGTCGCCATACAGGCGGGCAAGCTGTTGGCTCGAAGACTTTTTGGGGGCCGTTTAGAAAAGGTAAATTTCTTGTTACTGTTTTTGAGATAATATCTAAATAAAGCTATGACCTTAAAAAATCAGTACAAATAATACTTCTGTGCTTGTTTTGCATGTAAAGGATTCTTCACAGATAAATCATTTACAGTTAATTTATTTACTTTTTCAATAAATATTTTTTTAATATCTGCTATGTGCAAGATGTGCTGGGTGGGTGATATACAAAGGACTGACATGGTTCCAGCACCAAGGGGTTAGATAGGTGGGGTTCACGAGTAAGACAAGGAGCAGTTAATTCTGACTGCAGGGATTAGAAGAGGACTCCCAGGTGGATGGTTGTACTGCCACAGATTAGGAGGGGTACTCAGACTGGATCGGGATGCTGGCCCTGCCTTCAGTGCCTACTTGGTGTGTGAGCCTGGTCAAATCTTTTCACTTCTCTGCACCTCAGTTTTACCATCTGCAAAACTGATGATGTGAATCAGGTGATTTCTGCAGTTCTCCATTTTTCATAGTCTTTGATCAAAGATTTGGGATGGGCTTTGTAGAATAATTCAAAATTGAGGAGGCAAAGGGCTTTTTTGATAAGTAGATAACACGAAATCCCCAGGCTCGGCATGCTTGGTTTGTTCTAGGACTATGAGTAGAACTCAGGAGTTCGCAGCTGAGGGGGTCATAGTCTCCTGCATCCGAAGTGCTGCGTACATGGACATGCGGAGGTGCTGGAGGGTGAACAACAGCTAGGGAGGTGGTTTTACTGGGTGGGTGTCAGAAATGCTGAATGTTCTGTTGCACACAAAGGATTGTCCCATCCACAATATTTACAGCATTCTGGAGTGTACGCAGGCAGAGCAGTTGGTCATAGAGGAGTACATTTGGGAATGAGGCTGGAAATTGATTTGATGCCAGATCATAAGAAATCTTTGATGGCACGGTAAAGAATCAGTAGGGCCTTCTGGAGGCAGTGGGAGCTGTTGAAGACCTTTATTTTCCCCAACTTTTCATTTAGAAAGATGTCAAACCATAGAAAGAAGAGTAACAATCACCCATATTACCCTTTTACCCCAATTCCCCAGTTATTCACACTGACATTTTTGTTCTCTCTTTTTGTGAAGATCTATATATGTATGTACATAAATGCTTGTACAATTTTTTTGGCTGAGCTTTTTGAAATAGCAGACATCAATGATGTTTTTGCCCCTAAATACTTTACCATGCATCTCCTAAGAACAAGGATATTCCCCTGCGTAACCACAATTCCATTCTGGTAGCTGAGAAATTCAACAAAAATGCAGTAATACATTTGTCCTCAGTTGTCCATTAAGTGTGTGTGTGCACATGTTTTGATACACACAGTACATGGTCCTTCTAATTCCTAAGTCTCTCTTAATCTGTTACAGCTCCTGCCTTTATTTACCTGTTTGCTCATTTTACTTTTCATGACTTTGACTTTTGATGAATCCAGATGTCTCACATTTTGAATTTCTCTGATTGTTTTTGCATGATTAGATTCAGGTGAAAAGTTTTAGGCACATATTCTTCATAAGGGATGCTGTGTGCTGCTTATATCATCACCCCAGGTGCCTTGTAAGGTCATGAATGAAGACCTTGTGTACATGTGGAGGTCTTGGTGGATGAGGAGCATTTGGGCACATGGCTCTGCTGGCATTAATGGGTGGGGCCAGGAATACTAAATGTTTAAAGAAGAATTAGCCTGTCCAAAGTGCAATAACATTTCAGGGTATGTGGAAGCAGAGTAGTTGCCTAATGCTTTAAGGAGTTAGTCAGGGTAGCCATGGGATGGAGAGATTAGAAGACAGACCAGTGTGTGTGCAGAAAGAGAGCTGTTAAAGATACAGGACTGAAAGGAAGACTACAGGTAGGACAAAATGAAGACAAGTTCAAGTGGAGAAGATAGTGTAAGATGTGGAGAAAGTGTTTTAGGTGAAAGGGAGGAAAGTTGAGAAATTGTTGATTTTTCTTAATTGATATGACACAGGAAACACATTTGTTGAAGGTGAGGCTTCCACTGTAAGCCATGGATTATGGAGTCAGCTGCTGGTCAATAAATAAACTGATGAGCATTTGAGAGCCTAAGAGAAGTCAGAAAATACTAAGACAGTCCACTTGGTTATGTGATTTTCTCTAGCCTTGTTGGATAAAGAATACAAATGCTTGGCTGACCCATGATTTTAAGGTTCACAAACGTGAAATGGAATTAGAGCATTTTAAGTGAAAGACTAGGCTGATGTATATTGTACACAAATCACCTTGATGCAGGGATACCTGGTGGTGTTTTGTTTTGTTTTCCTTCTGGGTAAAATAGAAACTCACTCAAACTAGGGAAACTGAGGGAGTTTATTATAAGGATCACACATATGAGTAAGTCAAATCACATAATGACTAAGAACAACGACCGTGCTAGGGCTGGGCCTCACTGCAGTTGGAGCAGGGCTGGATCCTGGGGTCACAGCTGCTCTGGGGCCCCAGCACAAAGGTGCAGGCTTCACAGGGTGCCCTTCCATTAGCCTAACGTGGCTACAGCTCTACAGGCGTGTTTATTCCTGTCCCACTACCACCTGGGGGAATCCTTCCTTTGCTCCTAGTCCGTTTTTCCGCATGGATTTCTGGCTAGCTTACGCATTACCTTTCTTTGGGTTAGATGTCACCCCTGACATAATCACCTGTAACTTATTGGCAGGGTCTGGGGGGACATGTGCTGTGGGCAGTGTCATCCCACAACAACACTACATGGGGGGCTGTGGCTGGGCAGACACACAGAGCTTCATCTCTGGTTATACTCTCCACTCTCTCTGGCCCTGCACACTGCTTTCTCTCCATACACACAGTTTTAATAATGCTTCTGCCAATGCATTCCAACTTTTCTACACACAGCCACAAACACATTCTCTCATCCAGGCAGGGATGCTACCTGTGCTTGCTTTCCCATAGGCAGACACACAGAGCTGCTGGAAGATAGCATGTAGGGTTCAGAGTCTGCAGTCTTCCTGTGCAATCCACACCTGTGCTGTGCCTCAGTCTGATAAAGCGTCTGAAGGGGATCCGTCGTACCCACAGGACTCGAGATCCTGGCCCCGTGTTAGCCCTCCAGTGCACACATGCCATCTCCCCCGGATGGTCCAGGGCAGTTACTCAGTCCCACACTATTGAGCCACTGCTTTGCTCGACGTCTCAGTGGCACTATTAAATGAAATGACCATTTAATGAACTGGAAATGAGTGGCCTCAGCTTCCAGTGAAATAGTATAATTCTTGGTCACCTAGCGGAGGTACTCCAGGAAAGTAGGGTCCAGAATCATGGGGATGGAAAAAAACATTTTAGAAAGTGTGTGTAGGGACAAAGAAGTGCACCACCTCCACCTCAACTGTGTGGTTTTCAGACTGGAAGTCTGAGGTTGGGGATCTGAGAGAGCCAGTCCTTTTCATCGGTCGCAGGCCAGCACATCGTCTATACCAGGTGTGTCAAACTGGTGGCCCACGGGCCGCATGCGGCCCTCAAGGTAATTTTTTGTGGCCCACAATGCTCTGAAATAACATGAAAATAGAAAAAATTGTTATGAAGAAAATAGCGCTTAGGGGAGATGGAGGCAATACCGTACACACAATTCCCTCGTTAACCCTTTAACTACTGAAGACGAGTATACACGTGGCCCAGTGCCTTTCCTGGGGGCCTGGGGGCTGTATAAACGCGCTCAGTTCCGGCGACGGTTGGAAGCGATATGTCTGCCACTCTCAGTGTCACATAATGTAAACAGATCCCAATAGTGAAAAGGTTAAAAAGAGCACTCGGGTAAAAAAGAATAATGTTAGTTTTATAAATACATTAAATAAAATAAATGTTTAAATAAAAGCAATTATATAGTGTTTTAATTATCCTATCCATATTCCTGAATCCTCACTTCAGAATATAAATTTAACAAAATTTGTAAATGTGATGTGGCCCGTGTGAATCTTGCCTGTTGCACCAAATGGCCCGTGTTTTAATTGAGTTTGACACCTCTGGTCTATGCCATGGAGTCGGGCTCACCCCGTCTCCTTTAGTGTAACTTAGAATTCCCTGAAATGCTTGTTTCAGAATCTGTTACACTGACCTTGACTTACTTATTTCCTTTTACAAATGTATGTGATACAGATTTTATTAAAAAATAACACAAAATAAAAACATTTAATTTTTTTATCTTTCAGTGTGATTATATTAATGTTCCAACTACAGTGTTTACTCCTCTGGAATATGGCTGCTGTGGATTATCTGAAGAGAAAGCTATTGAAGTATATAAAAAAGAGAACCTGGAAGTAAGATTGTGTTTTATTGTTTACTTCCTAAGAATTTCCCTTTTAATCAGCTGTCTTCTCACTTTTTATTTTGTCATTTTGCAAGTTATTTAACAGTTATATTGTAGTAAATTGTCTTATTTTAGGAAAATTAGAAATTAAATAATTTTTTTTTAAGATTTTATTGGGGAATTGGGAGAGGGGAATAGACAAGTTGCTGTTGTTTTGTCCTTCAGTCTAGTTGTGGAGGACATCGCTTCACTGGCCCATGTTGGTATTATCATTGCGCTCTTCCTGGGTGAGGCAGATCGGTTGCCGGCCACCAGACAGCCGCTCACGGTGGCTCTTGGCAGCTCAGAGTGGCTGCTGGCCGCTCAAACTGGCTGCCAGCCACACACGGTAGCTTATGGCAGCCCATTGCAGCAGGGACTGTAGCCTACGCCATCATTGGCAACTCACAGCAGCCCAGCTCCAGGTCGAGCTGTTGTTCACCATCTTAGCTGTAGAGGGCAGTGTCACTGGCCCTACGTGGGATCCGAACCCAGGCCCTGCTGCTTAAAGCTGGCGTCCCAAGCCAGCTCTTAACCAACGTGCCACTCAGCTGGCCCAGAAATTAAATAACTTTAACCCTGTCTCTCTTGCAAACTAATAATAATACAATTGGGGAAAGAGAGAAGTATAATGTATACATTAGGACTTTTGAATTCCAAATAACAAACATCTACTTGAGTAAGCTTATGCAAGGAAGTGCAAGTTATGGGATTTTTGGGGAATGCAGGAATGTATCAAGTCCTTAGGAACAGAAAAGAACCAGAAATTGGAAGACTATCTCAACTCTTTCTTTTACTTGCTTGAGGTTTATGTGTATCTTTGTGTGCATGCATGCAATTCATTCCGTTCCCGCAGACAGACTTTATTTGCCCCTCGAATGTACACAGAAGCCAAAATATGGCCTTTTTTTATTTCTGATTTATCTCATAGTTCTGGTCTTAGGAGGATTCATTGACTCACCATTTTCAGTCTCAATTCTCAATTATGAGAGAGGACCTTTGATTGGTCCGAGTTGGGTCGGCCATACAACCACTTCCATTTGGTATGATGGTAGCCAGACTCATGGCTCGTCAACATGGCTCTGGGAGGTGGGCAGTTCCCAGGGTTTTTGGTCTTTTGTAGGCTGTGGGCCATTCAGACTCCCACAGAGATGTCCTCTACACATTTATTTCCACCTACCCTTTACCCGCACCCTGTTCAATCAGAAGAAACTTAAAATATTTTCTTACATTTTGGTGAGTGGCTTGAGTGGCTTTTTTCTGCACATCCTACCAACATATGAGGGATAGGGGAATAAAAAGTTTGAGGATTATTACTACTTGAGGTTTTAAGCAAAAGAGAATCAAGATCTCAAGTCCTCTCTCTTAAAGACATTTTAATTTATTACTGGGAATTACTTTAAACCATAGCACAGATACTTACCTAGTTAAACCATTTAATGACTTACTGAAACTCTTCTTACACTTCTGGTGTAGGGAAAATGTATGATTAAAACTTCATAATGTTATTGTAGATGATTGTTTTCAGTGAGACACTTAAATATTTTAGAGGACATTGTTTGATCAGTGTCTGTAACTCCTTGTGATGAGTCATCCTTTCTTCAGTGGTGAATTTCCACTTGGGTGTCAGAAAATTGATGGTAACAATTATGAATTTACCACTTAGTTGTAAAACTTTTTTAAATTAATGAGAAATTAAAATAGAGAGACAGGAAGAATATAGCAGGTCATACCCCAGTTAAAGGAATGTCTTTCTAGTAAAAAAGTTCCCCAAGTTTGTGGGATTTGTTTAAGGTCTTCATCCTAAGGTTCACTGCACATCAACTCACCTACCATATATATAGTAAAATAAATAAATAAATCTTACAGGGGCCAGAATAGGGCTGTGCTCTCTGGTGGCCTGACTTAATACAAATTTTTAGAGTACAGGCATGCCTCAGAGGTATTGTGGGTTCAGTTCCAGATCACCACAATAAAGCAAAGTATTGCAACAAAGCCAGTCACATGAATTGTTTGGTTTCCCAGTCCATATAAATTTATGTTTACACTATAATGTAGTCTATTAAGTGTGCAATAGCATTTGTATCTCAAGGAATAGGAGGCCCAAGGAGAGGGAGAGAGACGGGAACAGCCAGTCAGTGGAGCAGTGAGAACACACATTTATAAAGTAAGTTTGCCATTTTATATGGGAGCAGTCTGTGGCGCCATAAAACAATTAGAATAGTAACATCAGAGATCACTGATAACAGATCACCATAACAAATGTAATAATGAAAAATTTCCAGATATTGCAAGAATTACCAAACTGTGACAGAGACAAAGTGAACAAATGCTGTTAGAAAAATGTCACCGATAGAGTTGCTCCCAGGGTTACCACAAATCTTTATGTAAAAAATGCAGTGTCTCTGCAGTGCTATGAAGCGAAACAAAATAAAACAGTGTACCTGTACATTTGGGCAAAATCATCTTGCTCCCGCTGCTCAGCATCACAAGAGAGTATCTTACCACATATTACTAGTTCAGGAAAAGATCAAAATTCAAAATTGGAAGTACTATTTCACACCATTGTAAAGTCGAGAAATTGTACAATAAATTGAACCATTATAAGTCAGAGACCAATGTAGTTTAGAATACATTTCTTATGCTGGCACCAAATATTAATCCATTGCCTTCTGTATGAAGCGATTAGGAGGAACAACACTGGGAGTAGCCATCACAAGCAGGAGGGGGGGAACATTGTGTTTTTTCTGGTTCTTAGGTGACTGAGCCAGATTGAGGAATCTGAGCCGTGCTAGAATGAAGGCTTTCGAGTAGCATAGGTAATGTTCTTAATATCTTTCAGTGGGTTGAACTGTATCTCCTCTTCTTTTCCTAGATTTGGTTTGAAAATTGAACCTTGTGGGCAGATTGTAAGCTTGTCAAAGGCAGGATCTAAGTCTTTATTTACCTTTTCAGACTACACAGAGCCTAGTGTACTGCCCTGGATAGTAGTACTCTGTAAATGTTTAAAAATTGAATTTAGTTAATAGATTTTTTTGGACTAACAGAGCAAAAGAAAGGTCAACATACTTGTGAGGTTGGCATCTTAGGAGCTCTGGCTCAGGAGCTCGCATTGGCTACATAAAGTTGAGATCATGAAAATTTCAATTTCTGAAAGCTGTTATAGAGATTCCATGTTTATATAATTAAAGAGCATATCAAGGAGTGGTTTTCGTCTATGCTAATCTTGGCCTCTTTCTGCCTCTTCTTGTCTTCCAGGTATATCATACTTTTTTCTGGCCTCTTGAATGGACAGTAGCCGGCAGAGACAACAATACTTGTTATGCAAAGATAATTTGCAATAAATTTGACAATGTACGTAATATAATTGGAAGCTGAAATGCTTCCAATTTTAAGATGTAGCTTTTATTCTAGTATTTGGTTTTTATAATCTCCTTAAACATAGTTTTCAGGGCAAGGCATAAATCCTTCAAACTGTTACCCAGTTAATGTGTTTGCAGAGGTTGAGCAAGTGATAGAGTATAATTGAGACTTACCAATACCTTCTCAAAAATAGTCATTGAAAGTTGTCTGTTCCCAGATCTGTCTAACTTAGTAGTTTAGAACTAGAAGATAAGTGAAAATTTTGATCATCAACTAATAAAATATAAGGTGTATCTTTATGTGCATTTTGTAAATTGACTGTGTGTCAAAAAGCCTTTAGAAGGAAATCCTTGCACAAAGTGAAAACTAGTTAATTAGCTAATTCCTAATGATTTCATTAAAGAAGAAGCCGTGGGTGGAGAACCCATTGCTGGAGGCTTCTGCCTTCCCCATGAGCATGAAACTGACAACAGCTGTCCTAATTATCAGAGTTGAAAGCACAGCTTGTTTATAACTTCTTTTAAAAGGAGCACAGTGTAGAAAGCAGTGTTAGCACTTGGTTCCTCCCTTTTTAAGAGTTTATAATCTATCTGGGGAGATAAAACATAAAATTAGTTAAATATGAACAGCAACAGCTACATTTATATAAAATTTACAGAATAATCTGAGTTTACTGTCATGAAGTTGTGGGTGCCTTTCCTAAGGGAGCAGGGAAACACTGCACGCACTGTGGCCCCCTAAAGTGAGTGGGAATGGGGTTTGATTGAGCAGCTGCAGAAATCAAGGTTTGCAGCTTTCATATTATTTCTAACCTCTTGACAGAGGTGGCTGTCAGCCCTGAGGCAGAATTTCTAGGTCTGTTTACCCCTCTTTGGACCCTTTCTCTGTCCTTTGACACTCCCTCCACTCACCCTCATCTGTCCCCACGAACCCCATTTGCCCACTGTCTTCAGTAGAGCTTGTGCCTTTCTTCTACTTTTGTCCAAATATCTATTTCTAGAAGATTATCTTAATACTACCTATTTTACTGTAGCTGTGTGGTAAAAATTGTGAATAAAGTTTTCTCTCTCATAGAACCTGCCCCTTCATTTTCTTTTTTTTTTAATAGATTATACGTCATTGCTGATTTTCTTTTTATAGCTTTCCTTTACATTGAAAAGCAGTCATCTAAGCTTTATAAATTAACTATTGCAGTCAGCACAGAGCTGCGTTATTTGGTCAAATATTGGGTTGTTGGCAAAGTCATACGCATGTTTGCAACAGATGGCACTAGTTCATTTTTGGAAGTACCATTTTCATTTTTAAATGGGGATTTTCATCAGATGCCCTTACTATGTCTCAGCTGTCTGCCAGTTTGCTATACATACAGTGCACCACCTCAGAGATTCCAAGTCAGTCTCCTTCCATGGGGCCCTGGAAACTCCACTTTTCACCCACAGCCCCCATGGCCTGTGACTACCCTTCAAGAAACGCTGCTCCCTGAGCTGTCCATTTGAGCACCTACCAGTAGATATGTGTGAGTTGACTGCTTTGAACCGTTGTTCTCTCTCTAGAATGTGAGTAGGCAAATATTTCTCCCATACTGAGACCTCTGCTGCCCTTTTGCATTCGACCTCTTGTACACATACTTTTGAAGTTCAAAAGACCAGCGTCTGATAATAATAATAATTTAAAAAACGCTGACAAAAGGACAGCCTAAATGCAGTGTACCTTGGAAATACACTGCAAATATTGCTTCCTGTCTCAGTAGCCTGCTCATCACATGTGCCTTGTACCTCCTAACGTTCTGTCCTGGGGAAAAGCCTCCTCACCAGCCACTCCTTGATCTCCGCTTAGTTATGCTCGGAACTGGGCAATTTGCTTCCTGGGCCAGGAATCACTGCAATTCCAGTGAAGCCTGTTGCCTTAGAATTATTCCAATGTTGGATTTTAATTCAGATTTGTATGTTAGTGTTTAGCACTATCTCAGCATAATTCGGAAATTCCCATCATACGTACTAAGTGGAAATGCCCTCCTTCATGCAGTGGGTAAACTGCTTGTTTTTAGTAAAGTTGAGTGCAGATTATATTGGGTGTGCATTTATTGGCTCATTTAACAGATTATTATAGTTGCTCAGTTTCATAGTAATGTTCTCTGCTGAGTTCAAAGTTAGTTCTTTTTCTGTAGGAGATGTTATTTTGAATTGTGAACTTGAATAGATTCCTATTCAGGCCATTAACCTACTGGGCTTCCCTTCGTTTTTGTTTCTGTATTAAAGAATCGGGTGATAGGATTTCATATTCTTGGACCGAATGCCGGTGAGGTTACCCAAGGATTTGCAGCTGCAATGAAATGTGGGCTCACGAAGCAGCTACTTGATGACACTATTGGAATTCACCCCACATGTGGTGAGGTACAGAAATGGGAGGTTTTTTAAATTGACTTCAATTGGCAAATATGAAAAATTATTATAAAGCACATTTTCAGAAAGTTTTGTATTAGCAACTACTTTGTATATTTTAAAGGAGAATAGATGTAATATTCAGAATGTATTTACTTAAAGCAATGATGAACATAAATATAAATTTGTTTTCTTCCTTTCCAACAGGTATTCACCACTTTGGAAATCACAAAGTCATCGGGACTAGACATCTCTCAGAAAGGCTGCTGAGGCTAGACCTGCTGCTATCTAGTCTCCCTTGTCTATTTCTATTTCTTTCAAAGATAAGAACTCTGTTGGGTAAAGTGAGTCTGTACTCAGGACACCTGTTCTGTTGCATAAAGCCCAGTGCAGGGCTTTTTTCACACACAGATGAGACCGTAGACAAGGAGACAGGCGGCAGTGGGTGTCTGCTCAGCAGTCCCAGCTGACTGGGAGAGGCAGTTACACTGCTTCCTTGACATCTTAGCTCGGAACCCATGTGAGGTGAGCTAAGATTGACGCTCTTCCATGTCTGAGAACTTGGAACTCAAGAACCGAGCTTCCCTCTGAAAGACCTTTATATCACACAACTAATCTGAGTTAACTTTTTGGTTGCTAATGTTTTTATCCCTTGCTTCCTTGTTTCTATGAAAATAATTTCTCAGTTATGAAATTAAAATGGCGATCTTCCAGTGTGTGGACATGGGATTCACATGTGGTCACTGGTGAGTGGTGTCTGTGGAAATGCCCTCAAGTAATTGGCTGCAGAAGACTGGGGTGCATTGGTAGAAAGCTGCACAATCTGAATAGAGTTTAGTTAGCTGTTTTCTCCTTTGAGTACATTTTTACCCACCATCCGAAACCTGCCTCATGCTTCACCCTCTCCTGGTTTTCTGATGGTACCCACTTGGAGTCATTCTCATCTTAGTGTCTCTAGACTGAGCAGAATATCTCATGTCAGAGAGAGCTTGAATTTATTTTTTCCATGTTGACCTTAAGAATAATATTAAAAAGTTTTTAATACTGTATTATGTGAATTTTAATTTAAAACTTTAAAATGATTCAGTCCACAATCTATTTTAAAGTCAAGTTCAGTAAATGAACAGGTGATAGTAGGAGATTCCATTTGAATTTACAAATTTGTCAGCATCTAACAGGCCCTTGCAGTGGGAGACCTATCCAACGTTTCTGGAAAATTATTTTCTTGAGGAACACAGCACACAGACCAACTCAAGGCTTTCTAGATAGCACTTGCTCTCTTGAGCACTACACTAGCCATTAGCCCACTGCCATAAGATTGGATAGTTCTGTGGTCAGCATTTCTAAGCATATCTTTTAAAAGAAAAATTTGAAGCCAGTAAACAGTTAGGGAACTCCATCTGTAGATGGGAAAGTTTGCTACCCTCTCTGGAGGCAGGAAGTGGAGTGGGAATGGGTACCCTAAGATAACGGACATAGGATCCCATTATTGAGTTGCTGTTTTACTGGGTAAAGTACAAATGTAACTGTCAAAAAAGTGAACCAGGATGTAGCAATTGCTATAACTGAGGTAGAAACAGCACAGTGGGAAACAGGAAAATGTTATTAATTACCACTGGATATGGGGAAGTGTGGGATAATTGAATAGAGTTTAATGGAAACAGCTATATTTGAGCTGAATCATGAGGGATGAATAGGATTTCAAAGATAGGGAGAAGGCTCTGAATGATGCTTTCAACAAATTCAACTAAAATACTGGATAAAATAATTTTTTTAAGTTTTTTCCTGTATTGCTGAGCACCATTACACATACACATACAATTAAGTTCTGACAATTAAGTTCGCTAACTCATCCTAGAAAAAGTGCTACATACCTCATTACTGAATATTACTACGGTCACCTTTGAATTATTCCCTTTGGGAAGCTATGCACCAATGCCAGTGCCTAGTCCACCCTTCAAAGCAATTTTGGAACTTTTTCTGGAATGGCCATCAGAGCTGTCGTCGTATTACCTTTGATGTCCAGAATGTCATCAAAATGTCTCCCTTTCAATATTTCCTTTATCTTCAGGTAAAGAAAGAAGTCACTGGGGGTCAGATCAGGTGAGTAGGGAGGGTGTCCCCATACAGTAATTTGTTCACTGCCTAAAAACTCCCTCGCAGACAGTGTCATGTGAGCTGGTGAATTGTTGTGATGCCAGAGCCATGAATTGTTGGCGAAAAGTTCACATCGTTTTTGTCAAACTTTTTCACACAGCCTTTTCAGCACTTCCAAATAGTAAACTTGGTTAACTGTTTGTCCAGTTGGTACAAACTCATAATGAATAATCCCTCTGATATCAAAAAAGGTTAGCAACATTGTTTGGATTCTTGATTTGGACTGACGGAACTTTTTTGGTCGTAGAGAATTGACTGACTTCCATTGTGCACTTTGACGCTTTGTTCCAGGGTCATGTTGGTACACCTATGTTTCATCACCAGTGATAACATGGCCCAAAACATCGTCTTGCCTCTCCAAAAGGTCTTGGCAAACTATGACTCTCCTTTGCTTTTGTTCATCGGTGAGCCCCTTTGGTACTGTTTTTGCACACACCTTTCTCGTGCCAAGATTTTCCGTTAAGATTTTTCTTACTGTTTCTCTATTGATTGATGTTTCCTTGGTCTGCTATGCTTCTCACAGTCAGCCAATGATTTTGACGCATAATTCGAGGAATTTTTGCAATGTTTACTTCAGTTCTGCTTGTTACTGGCCGCCCTGACCTCTTCATCAGTGACGTGTTCTTCCCCCTCAGAAAAACGTTTAATCCATTTGTACACTGCCATTTTCTTCATGGCATTATTTCCATAAACTTGGACTACATGTCCTTGATTTCATTTCCACTCTTGCCAAGTTTAACAAGAAATTTAATGTTTGTTGATTGCCCTAATTCAAGCTCAGACATTCTCGCGACAGCACACAAACACACACAAAAACAATAATGAACTCCACTTGGGAAGACACTACCACACATTGACACGAACACAGCTGTGAGACACTGATATGTGAAAGTTATGAAACCTTACTGAGCTGTTTGTACAGTGCTGCCAACATAAGCACATTGTGGTACGTTCGTGAACTTAATTGGCAGACCTCATACACAACCAAGGGTTTCCAAGGGTACCCCAAATTAAGTGAAACCAGGAAGTCTGGAAGTCTTGAGTTTTGATTTGCACTGAACATAGGACAATAAACCTAAAGCCCAGGCCTGCCCCAAGTGGAGTTTCTAATAGGACCTTTGTGTAAAGCTTGTGCCCCAATGGGCTATATCCCCAGTGGATAAGTGAGTGAAAAGCACTGTATCTTATAGAAAGCGATAGCAAAGAAACTTGCCTGTCTTCTCGCTGGCATGAATGGAAGGAAATGATCCACCCAAAGAATCTGTAACCACTGTGCAGGTTACACACCATTGAAAGGCTAGTTATCTCCCTGTCCGCCACTTCATCTCTTTCTCTTTTCTCCTCTTCTGAGGTAAAGACTAGTCCTATATTATATCATGGTGAGAGATCAGTTGTTCCTAGATTAGCCTTGTATGCATCTACTAACATACAAATGCATACAGATCTGCAAGAAAAAATAAATATCTTCCATTATAGCAGAGATTTTAATATACCTCACTAATTTATTAGATCAAACACAGACAAAAAAAGATACAAATTTAAATAGCAAATTATCAAGCTTGATTTAATGAATGTATAAAGAAGACTAACATGAATACTTAAACTCATTTCAAGCACACATGGAATATTTATGAAATTGATCATGTGCTAGTTCAACAAATTTCAAAAGACTGGTATCATATAGGGATGGGTCAAAAGCATTTTAGCTGTGGGACTGATACTAAGAACCCAGAGACCTCAAAATGTATGCAGTATGGTGGAAAGTGGAGTATGGAGGTATTATGAGGTGTGAGGGGTTAATAGGAGATCTAGCTGGAAAGAGCCAGGTTAGAGACAAGAACCTGTCACAAGAAGCAGGGAATAATGGAAAGATCCTACACTTTGAAGAATAACAGATTTGGGAATGCCTCGTCCCTTGACTTACTAGATGCATGAGAAGATAAATTACTTAAATGTTGCTATTCATTTATTAAGTGTAGACAGTATTGCCTGTTTCGCAGACTTATAATAATTGAATACATTTATTAAATTTCCAACATATAGAATATTGGTGTAGAGTATCTTGGCTTCCATGATGATGAATTGGGGCCTTATTTAAGGAAGCTCTTACAGACACAACAGTATAGCCAATAGATAAGAGAACTATTGACAAATCAGCGCTTTGGCATACTTCACTGTGATAGCCAGCCTCCAAGTTGGCCCTCAAATTGGATTCTCCAGCTACGGGTAGTCACGTCCTTGTGTGGGCCCCTCCTACAATGTACTACGTTGGTTCTGCATGCAGCAGAAGTGATGGTTTCTCACTTCTAATATTAGGTCATGAAAGGACTGCAGCTTAAGTTTTGGTCACTCGCATGCGCTTTCTCTCTTGGATCACTTGCTCTGGGAGAAGGCCGCTACCATATCATGAAGACTCAGGAATCCCATAGAGAGACCCAGATGGTGAGGAACTGAAGTCTCCAGTCAACAGCAAGAAACTAAGGTCTGCCAGCATCCATGTGAATGAGCTCAGAAGTGAATACTTCCTCAGGCAAGCTCCCTAGCCAGCAGCTCGACTGCAATTTCTTGAGACTTTGGGCCAGAACAATCCAGTTAGGCCATTCCCAGAGTCCTGACCATCAGAAACTGAAATAAATACTTATTTTTCAAGTTATTAAGTTTCGGAGTAATTTGTTACATAGTAATAGATAACTAATATGTTCACCAAGGAAAATTAAAATTAGTACAAATTTCATCAGATGACAAATGTCTTGGGGGACTTTCTTCCTAGGGCAGACAAAATACAGGTTTGAGATTTTAACAAAAAGGGATTGGAGCTCAGGCTTAGCGCTGAACGTCCCTCATAACTGCAGACAAGGAAACCCCAAGCAGGGAAGCTCAAGGGTCCTTAGCGGGGGTCTTTTGGAGCCCGTAGTTTTGGGCTTCGGCTGTGGTGAGTCCCTGCTGAACTTCTTTGGAGCATCCATGATTGTCAAAATTCACAAAAGGTTACTTGGGAAAGCATTCCAACTTAGCAAGGGAAAGCAATGAAAGGGTCTCATCACAAATGAGAGTTAAGGAAGGGTACTTAGAGTATTTGAGGGTTAGGGTTCATCAAGGAATGGTTGTATGGCAGAGGTTAATAAGTGGTCTGGGTAGCAATTGGTCAGAATTTGTAAACTAGTTGCTAGAACAGCTAATTTGGGATATATGAGACATATCGAGT